GGTCCTCCCAAAGGCCCCATTTTCGCACAGCTGATCGGCGGTTCCAAAATGGCCACCGGATGAAGAAAATGGCCGCCCTCAGCGTTTTTGCGCCAATTCCTCACTTACTGAGGCGACTAAAATGGCGGCCCTATGGCGGATTCCTGCTTAGCGGTGAGTTTACCCCCCATAGGCATGCATTAAACAGAGTTTAATGCGTTCCTATGGGGTTTTCTATTCCGTATAGCGATGTTTTCGAATAGCGACGTTTTTCCTGTAACGGATTAACGTCGCTATGCGGGGCACCACTGTAAATGGGTGGAAGGTGAGGAACAAGAGAAACCTTCTAATATCAAAAGTTACATTATTTGGTTGCACCTAAAAGTCTTTCTTACTCTTAAATTATTTTTGTGCATATGCAGGTATCACTCTTTTGAACATAGAACCCACACCGGTATTTAGACCTGGCTGGAAGTTGGCATCTCTGTTTTAGAAAGCGCTCAGTGATTTGCTACATATCCAGTATCGTGGTGACCTGCACCGGGTCGAACTAGCCTTTGAACTAACATCATTCAGGTAGGCACAATCTCCGTGTGCTCCAAACTGAAACCTGTGAAAAGAAAGACAATGACTGGTTAGATTAGATTCCATTCTATATCAGACAGATGCTATTCAAGTGATGTGCCTCTACTCCATTCCTACATTTATTAGCACACAGAAGTCCCCTGCAACCAGTTTCTTTTCATCCACTGGCCCCTCACTTTAATAGATTTTAAACCTATGTCCTACATCTACGCATTGGTTAGCTTAGATTCTAGTGAATCTCCTAACCTTAAGATTTTTTTTCACTTCTTCCATTCATTACTCACTTCTATAAGAGCTTCCAAAAATGTCTTTCTAGGGCAATATATAAACATTGTTTTTCTTGACCGTGCTGTACATACAGTATTTATTCTTACAAGACACACCACACAGACATTGCAAGAGATTCCATTACTTTAAAAAATGGGGCAACCTGTAGCTTTCCAGATGTTATTGGCTTTGATCCCATTGGCCTCAGCCAGAATAGCCAATGATCAGGGATGACAAGTATAATCAAACAACATCTGGAAGGCAGCAGCCTTATTCCTCACCTCTGCTGGCTGAAGCGAATGGGATCAGAGTTTATTCCAACCCACACTTTTTCATTCCATCTTTTCAGCCCTCAACATGTCTTCTTCTGGAATTTTACTCTGGCCTGTTTTTGTCTTTGATGCTTTCAGTTCCATGCATCTCCAACTTCCTATTTATTAGTCATATTTTAATCCTACATTCTCTTGCATGAGCTCAAGGACATGGCTCTTTTACTCGTCATTTCCTCCTCATAACAATACTATGAAATACTATGAAAGTGCATAGGAACAGGGAAGGGGACAGGGAAGGGGAAAAAGATTCACAGGAGGCTTTATCAGTAGCAGTCCAAGAACAATCCAATAATCAAGATAGGTGAGATAATCAAAAGGATACATCCGATAATGAGGTCCAATTCATAATCCAAGCCAAAACGATAACCAGTCCAAATTCAAACCAATAACAATGAAGCTGATTCAGAAAGCAGGAAACGAAGTCAAACAGTCCGAATCAAATAGCCAGATCAGAATTGCAAACGACAGCTAGACCGAGATCAAAACCAGAAAATTTTAAAACTAATTGAAAGAGCTCTAGACATAGAAGTAGTCTGATTGCAGCGGCAGCAAAAAGGAACTGAGGTACTGCGGGCAGAGCATGTGCACCTTAGGGAAACATTTCTATTGACCAGTATTTAAGATCCAAAACAGAGGTCCTCAACCGCCGGTCCGTGGCCCAGTGCCAGTCCATGGTATGAGTTGGACTGGCCACCAAGACAGACCTGCCCCACCCCTCGCACACACTCACCCCACACAGCCTGTTTGCTCCTGTGCATGCGCTCCAGCATGTCCATGTGAGTGCTGCAGCACTATTTGTGCATGCACATGAGCATGCGTGCCCAGACAAGTGCCACACCGCTGTTTGCACATATGCATGATCACATGTGCACCTGTGCAAGCACTGCACTTCCATTTGCACATGCACACGGGCACATGGTCATGCATGCACTTGTGTGAGAAAGTGTGCATGCTTATTCATGCATGTGCATGAGCGCAGGGAGTGCCCAGCCTTCCCCAGACAGTCTGTTTACTGAAAAATGTTGGGGACCACTGCTGTAGAACATTCCGAAGAGTCCTGCGCAGGCGCAGTCTAAACCCATTTGTGTGCATTCACAGAAACCACGAAGACGGAACTGCTGTTTTGAAACTGAAAATACATAATTTTGGATAACTTTGGCAGCATTAATCAATGTAAAAAGAGAATACAAGAAGTTAATCTCATTGAATTGAAACCTAGGCCTCATGAACCAGGAAAGGATGTTTTTGTCACCCAGAGCCATGTCTTTGTACACAGAATCCATACACATTGAGACCTGCATTAAGCATTAGACTTGTTCTGAAGTTTCCCCAGATTTCATCCATGTGCTTTGAACAGTTTTTTAAACAAAACAAAACAAAAAACAGCTTAGAAGGATAACCAATGTTTTGGTTTTTGTATTGCAGTACATTTTATTGCAGCGTGTGTATCATATTGGAGCAGATATTTTGTATGTGTGTGTATGTGTTAATGGTGTGGGTGTGTGGATTACCTCTGCCACCTCCAGGCTAGTGTATTTAAAGGGGCCCTTCCTTACACTCCCGAGTGGAGCCAAATCAACTTATATCCAGGACACCCTTTTTGGGGGCTTTAAAATGGATCTCATAACCCGTGGAGTACTCTACCAGGTAATAATTCCCTACCACAATGTGTCTGTGTATGAGAGGATTAAGTGCAAAGTTCTGCAACATGGAGAAAAAACAAATGCACAATTGAAGAAGTCTCTACTACGTGGAGAGAAAAAAAAGAAATGCATAATTACAAAATGGGGAAAACCTGATTTAGCAACATTACAAGTGAGAAAGATCTTGGAATTGTTGTAGATCACAAGCTGAATATGAGCCAACATCGTGATGTGGCTGCAAAAAAAGCCAATGCTCTTTTAGACTGCATTCACAGAAGTATAATTTCCAAGCCCCTCAAGATACTTGTTCCCCTCTATTCAGCACTGCTTAGGCCTCATCTAGAGCTGTGGTTCTTAACCTTTGTTACTCAGGTGTTTTTGAACTGCAACTCCCAGAAACCCCAGCCAGCAGAGCTGATGGTGAAGGCTTCTGGGAGTTGCAGTCCAAAAACATCTGAGTAACAAAGGTTAAGAACCAGTGATCTAGAGTACTGTGTCCGGTTCTGGACACAACACTTTAAGAAGGATGTTGATTCAGAGGAGGGCAAGAACGATGATCAGGAGAGCGGAAACCAAGCCCTGCAAGGACAGACTGGAGAAATGGGCATGTTTAGCTTTGAGAAAAGAAGACAGAGAGGAAACATGCTAGTACTTTTATAATACAGTGGTGCCTCGCTTAACGATGTTAATTCGTTCCAAAAAAACCCGCTGCTAAGCGATTTCATCGCTAAGCAAAACACGGTTTTCCATTGAAATGCATTGAAAACTGGATAATCCATTCCAATAGGAACGAATTGCCGTCCTTAAGGGAAAATTGCCATAGGAAACATCGCTAAGCAAAACGTGGTTCCACAATTGAAATGCATTGAAACCTATTCAATGCATCTCAATGGGGGGGAGGAAATACAACAACAAATTTAAAAAGAGTCAGAACAAAGTCAAATTTGTTTATAAAGGGTTTATTAAGTGCACTTTATGATTTCAAACATTTTAAACAGTTTTTAAACATTTAAAAAACAGCAAACATGAGGTCGTTTAAACCATCGCTAAGAGAAAATCGCCCATAGGGACCATCATTAAACGAATCGTAAAAACGCTCCGAAAAAGTAATCACTAAGAGATTTCGTTGTTAAACGGAGCGCCCGTTAAGCGAGGCACCACTGTACCTGAATGGTAGTCATACAGAGGAGGGGCCGGATCCATTCTTGATCACCCCAGAATCCCGGACACGTAATGGCTCAAGTTACCAAAAGGCAGATTTCAGCTGAATATTCGGGAAAGCCTTTTAACTCTTAAAGCAGTATGATAAATGATCTTTTTAGCTCAGGAGGTGGTGAGTGCTCCAACACTGGAGACATTCAAGAGAAAATTGGACAACCGTCTGTCAGATTTGCTTTGATTTGGAATCCTGCATTGATCAGGAGGTTGGACTTGATGGGCTTATAGGCCCCCCTTCCAACTCAGTCATTCTATGACTCTATGAGAGCAGAAAGAGACATTCTAGACAAAGAGAAAAATCCTTCAGTGCTAATTATCTGTGAATGTCACACAAGACCATCTCTCACTAGTCCTTCTTTGTTAATCAGCTTGTTTGGTCTTATGACTGATCTTCAGGACATAAGTGCAAAATTCCTTTGAAGACTGAATTTTCAAGCACAAAATTCTGCTTTATTTCTCTCTCTCTAATATTATTAGTCCCCTTCACTGATTGCTGCCTTGTAGTAGCGAAGGGCTTGAGTAATTCAGAGAAGCTATGGGCTATACTGTGCAGGGACACCCAAAAAGTACAGGTCATGGTGGAGAGTTCTGACTAAACGTGACCCACCTAGAGAAAGAACTAGCAAGCCACTCCAATATCTTTGCCAAGAAAACCCCATGGACAGAAACAAAAGGCTAAAAGATATGATGCTGGAAAATGAGCCCCTCAGGTCGGAAGGCATCCAACATGCTACTGAGGAAGAGCAGAGGACAAGTACAAGTAGCGCCAGAGCTAATGAAGTGGTTGGGCCAAAGTCGAAACGATATTCAGCTGTGGACGTGCGTGGAAGTGAAAGGTAAGTCTTATGCTGCAAACAAAAAATACTGCATAGGAACCTGGAATGTAAGATCTATGAACTTTGGTGAGCTGGATGTGGTCAAACAGGAGATGGCAAGAATAAAAATTGACATCCTGGGCGTCAGTGAACTAAAATGGATGGGAATGGGCAAATTCAATTCAGACAATTACCATATCTACTCTTGTGGACAAGAATCCGCTAGAAGAAATAGAGTAGCCCACATAGTCAAGAAAAGAGTGGGAAAAACTGTATTGGGATATAATCTCAAAAATGATAGAATGAATTCAATATGAGTCCAACGCAGACCTTTCAACATCACAGTAATCCAAGTTTATGCACCAACCACCAATGCTGAGGAGACTGAAATTGACCAGTTCTATGAAGATTTACAACGCTTTCTGAACTGACAGCAAAGAAAGATGTTCTTCTCATTATAGGGGATTGGAATGCTTAAGTAGGGAGTCGAGAGATAAAAGGAACAACAGGGAAGTTTGACCTCTGAGTTCAGAATGAAGCAGGGCAAAGGCTAGCAGAGTTTTGTCAAGAGAACAAGCTGGTCATCACAAACACTCTTTTCCAACAACACAAGAGGTGATTCTACACATGGACATCACCAGATGGGTGATATTGAAAGCAGATAGATTATATTCTCTGCAGCCAAAGATGGAGAAGCACAATACAGTCAGCAAAATCAAGGCCTGGAGCTGATTGTGGCTCTGATCATCAGCTTCTCATAGCAAAATTCAAGCTTAGACTGAAGAGAGTAGGAAAAACCACTGGGCCAGTCAGGTATGATCTAAATCAAATCCCTTATGAATACACAGTGGAAGGGAAGAACAAATTTCAGGAACTAAATTTGGTGGACAGAGTGCCTTAAGAACTACGGATGGAGGTTCATGACATTGTTTGTACAGTAAAGGAAATGTAAGAAAGCAAAGTGGCTGTCTAACGAGGCGTTACAAATATCAGAGAAGAGAAGGGAAACAAAATGCAAGGGATATAGGGAAAGTTACAGAAAATAGAATGCAGACTTCCAAAGAATAGCAAGGAGAGAAAAGAGGGCCTTCTTAAATGAACAGTGCAAAGATATAGAGGAAAATACAGTGGTGCCTCGCTTAACGAGCGCACCGTATAACGACGAAATCGCATAGCGATAAGGTTTTTCCAATCACTTACCGATGGCCCCAATGGACGAAAATTGCATTGCGAAGACCGGTAAGGGTTTTGCTTACCGATCTTCGCATTGCGACGCCCGACAATCAGCTGTTCGGCGGCTCCAAAATGGCCGCACGCAGCGTTTTCGCGCCCTGCCCTCGTTTATCTAGGGTGCAAAAACGGCTGCCGATGGGGAAAACATCGCATAACGGTAAGTTTGGGGCCCACTGGAACGCATTAAACAATGTTTAATGCGTTCCAATGGGTTTTCTTGATCTGTTTAACAATGTTTTCACATAGCGAGGGTTAATCCGTTCCGGATTAACCTCGCTATGCGGGGCACCACTGTAATAGAAAGGGGGAAACCAGAGATCTGTTCAAGAAAATTGGAGATATTAATGGAACATTTTGTGCAAAATTGGACATGATAAAGGACAAAAATGGTACGGACCTAACAGAAGGAGAAGACATCAAGAAGAGGTGGCAAGAATACACAGAGTAATTATACCAGAAAGATCTGGATATCGCGGACAACCCAGATAGTGTGGTTGCTGACCTTAAACCAGGCATCCTGGAGAGCAAAGTCAAGTGGGCCTTAGAAAGCCTGGCTAACAACAAGGCCAGTGGAGGTGATGGCATTCCAGTTGAACTATTTAAAATCTTAATAGATGATGCTGTTAAGGTGCTACACCCAATATGCCAGGAAGTTTAGAAAAGTCAGCAGTGACCAGAGGATTGGAAAGATCAGTCTACATCCCAGTCCCAAAGAAGGGCAGTGCCAAAGAATACTCCAATTACCATACAATTGCACTTATTTCACACGCTAGCGAGTTTATGCTCAAAATCCTCCAAGGTAGGCTTCAGCAGTATGTGGACCGAGAACTCCCAGAAGTACAAGCTTGATTTCTAAGGGGCAGAGGAACTAGAGACCAAATCGGATTATATAGAAAGCCAGAGAGTTCCAGAAAAACATCTACTTCTGCTTTATTGACTATGCAAAAGCCTTTGACTTTGTGGACCACAGCAAACTATGGCAAGTCCTTAAAAATGGGAGTGCCTGACCACCTTATCTATCTCCTGAGTAAACTATATGTGGTATAGGAAGAAAACAGTTAGAACTGGATATGGAACAAGTGATTGGTTCAAAATTGGGAAAGGAGTACGACAAGGCTGTATATTGTCTCCCTGCTTATTTAACCTATATGGAGAATACATCATACGAAAGGCCGGACTGGAGGAATCCCAAACTGGAATTAAGATTGCTGGAAGAAATATCAACAACCCCAGATATGCAGATGATACCACTTTGATGGAAAAAAGTGAGGAGGAATTAAAGAACCTCTTAATGAGGGTGAAAGAGAAGAGTGCAAAAAAAAATGGTCTGAAGCTCAACATGAAAAAAACTAAGATCATGGCCACTGGTCCCATCACCTCCTGGCAAATAGAAGGTGGAAGATATGGAGGAAGTGTCAAATTTTATCTTCCTGGGCTCCATGATCACTGCAGATGGAGACAGCAGCCACAAAATTAAAAGACGCCTGCTTCTTGGGAGGAAAGCAATGACAAACCTAGACAGCATCTTAAAAAGCAGAGACATCACCTTGCCGACAAAGGTCCGCGCAGTCAAAGCTATGGTTTTTCCAGTAGCAATGTATGAAAGTAAGAGCTGGACTGTAAAGAAGGCTGACCGCCAAAGAATTGATGCTTTTGAATTGTGGTGCTGGAGGAGACTCTTGAGAGTCCCGTAGACTACAAAGAGAACAAACCTATCCATTTTGAAGGAAATCAACCCTTAGTGCTCACTGGAAGTACAGATCCTGAAGCTGAGGCTCCAATACTTTGGCCATCTGATGAGAAGAGAAGACTCCCTGGGAAGAGAAGGGGACATCAGAGGACTAGATGGTTGGACAGTGTCATCAAAGCTACCAATTTGACCCAACTCTGGGAGGCAGTGGAAGACAGGAGGGCCTGGCGTGCTCTCGTCCATGGGGTTACGAAGAGTTGGACATGACTTAATGACTAAACAACAACAACCAAATTATTACTATTAGGCCGTTATCTATAATGTCAGAAATTACATTTTGGGTTTCTGTTATCTAGACTTTGATAACAGAACATTTTGATAACATTTTTGAACATTTAATAATATTTGATAACATTTTTGAAAAAAAATACCTTAACGCTGTAAAGAAAAATATGAATTGAAATCTATAAACAATTTTATAAAAAGCACAATTTTAAACACATTTTGTAAAAAGAAATATTGCCCTAAAAATTTATGCAAATGGGGTCAAAAGATAGCACAGAACTTACAAGCTGCCATTGTATTCCGAACCGTTTGTCCATTTCCAAGTTTGGTTGTTCTTCCGTCGAAGCCCAATCCAATGATATGGATACTTTAGGTTGGAAACAATAAAATCCTGTCATTGAAAGAAAGGTTGTTACAGCTCTTGTGTGTTTTGAAGATTAATCAGCTTTTGAATTGATTTATACATTACTATTACTCATGTTGATCTTCTGTAAACATAGTTGGTAATAATCCATGAATAACAAATTGAATATTTGTCTGAATTTCTTTTTTTTTTTGGCATTTTGTTTAATTTTATTTGCTGCTCTTTGGAAAAGATTTTGCTCCCTACCTCAAGATATCACAAGACCAGCTAGACACTAATCACAGAGGTGTATCACACAATAGACAAGTCTGCTAAAAAGTGCAAACTGCATGATTAGCATTGCATGCAGAATTGTTTAAAAACATGATAATGTCCACAGTGCAATAAAAAAATTATTCAAAAAAGGCAGAAAGTACATCAGATTTAATAGATGGAACTTCAGGTGATGCTGATTTCTAGCTATTTTTTAAACATTAACAAGAATGTAAAGGCTCCCCATCCTAGATTTGTCTGTTAATTCTGATTTTGGACCACAGGATTCTGATAAATAAATGAATAAATAAATAAGTGGATCCTACAAACTTAAAATCAGTCTACCTCTGTGTTTGGACATCTTGCCCAGAATCCTAGTACAGTGGTGCCTCGCAAGACGGTTGCCTTGCGGGACGATTAATCCGCAAGACGATGGTTTTTGCGATCGCTGTGGCGCTTCACAAAACGGTTTTTCCTATGGGCGCTTTTCGCTAGACAATGTTTCGTCTGTGCTTCACAAGACTTTTTTTTAAAGGGACAGTTTTTTGCAAGACAATGTTTTTGATAGTTGGGTCCGTGCTTCGCAAAACTGTTTTTTAAAGGGACGGTTTTTCACAAGATGATGTTTTTGACAGCTGGGTCCATGCTTCGCATAACGGTTTTTCCTATGGACGGTTTTAGCAAGGTGATGATTTTTCCCCCATTGGAATGTATTGATTAGATTTCAATTCATTCCAATAGGGAACCGCATTTCGCAAGATGATGTTTTCGCAAGACAGAGATTTTCACAGAATGAATTAACATTGTCTTGCGAGGCACCACTATACTTATACCTGCCTGCATATGTAAAATATAACAGTCATAGCTCTCCATCCAACAGAATCTTGGGATCTGTCATTTATGGTCTCTGATGTCATTCAAGAGACTGCACAAGAACTCTCTAGCAGATAATTCTACATACCTCACCAAACCACAAATCAAAGGATGCAATATGATGAAGTCACTGCAGTCAAAGCAGTATCAAATTCTTACAACAATGCAATCATGGTTCCTCTCAATGGATCTAAACAGGAGGGGTTCCTGTTCACCAGGAGGCTCTCCACACAAGCCAGAACTCCAAATGGACAGTAAAGAGAACCTTCCTCTGAACAGGAACCTCTCCTTTTCAGGTGTGTCACTTTGTACAGTCGTGCCTCGCTTTACGATTGCCCCGCATTACGACAAAACTGCATTATGACGATCTTTTTGCGATCGCAAAACAGTGGGCTAAATGGAGTTTTTTCACTTTGCGATGATCAGTTCCCTGCTTCGGGAACCGATTCTTCACAAAACGACGATTTTACAACAGCTGATCAGCGGTTTCAAAATGGCCACCGGGTAAACAAAATGGCTCTCTGCTGTGTTTAGGGACGGATTCCTCGTAAGACAGGCAATGAAAATGGCTGCCCTATGGACGATCTTCGCTGGACTGTGAGTTTTGACCCCATTGGAACACGTTTAAGGAGTTTCAATGCGTTTCAATGGGTTTTTTCCCCGCTGTACAATGTTCTTGCATAACGGCGATTTTCCTGGAACAGATTATCGTCGTTAAGCAAGGCACCACTGTATGTCAAGAGAGTGGTGGAACAGAGTGAGGCTAAGAGCTCTCCTGCTTGCATGCTCATTAAAACAGTAAGTAGTAATGCCTAAGTAGGATTAGAGACTGAGGCATCAAGGCTGTATAAAAAGAAGAAAGAATGCAATAACAACGGTCTGTAGGGACCATTTCAATTGAAATTTATCTTGCATTAGAGCCTTCCACCATTGGGCACGTATCAACCAAGCATATTTTACATGGTTACAAAGACTCTCACCAATTCTTCCTTGGTGTCAATCCTGGCCAGAGAAGCACCAGAGGAAGAGCAGTTGCTTTGGCTGGAGTCCCAATCACTTTCAGCTTTGGAGAAATAGTAACACTTTCTTTCATGCTTAACCCAGCCAGAAGGACAAGGATCTGGAGAGGATTTGTTCATGATCACAACTAAGTAACAGAAATAAAGTAGTCAGTCTGTGAAGGCTTTTTTTTTCTCATTTCTAACACATTAACATTGCTGATCTTTGGAAATGAATGAAAAAGAAAATCTGGAAAAAATGTATAACTTTTACATGTGTGTAACAAAAACTAAACAAGAACCAACATCTCATGACAGAATACTACCGGACTCGTTTCACAGTTTGAGGTTTCAAGGATTCAAAACAACTATCTCAGATACATGGAGGAACACAATATTTAGACCACAGGTTTATACATATAATGTATATGGTTGGGAGGGTGGGGATCAAATGAAATGGGATACAGGGATCCCATTAAAGGAAATTGTTCATGACTTTGTGTACCTTGGCTCAACCATCTCTGACACACATTCTCTAGATGTCGAGTTGCATAAACGCATTGGCAAAGCAGCTACCATGTTCTCTAGGCTCACAAAGAGAGTATGGCTCAATAAGAAGCTGATGACACATACCAAGATCCAGGTCTATAGAGCCTGTGTCCTGAGCACACTCCTGTACTGCAGTGAGTCCTGGACCCTTTGTGTACGGCGTTGCCTCCGACGGATTTTTGGTATCACCTGGCAGGACAAAGTTCCAAACAGAGTAGTCCTAGAATGAGCTGGAATTTTTAGCATGTATACATTACTGAAACAACAACATCTATGTTGGCTTGGGCACGTCGTGAGAATGGCTGACGGTCGGATTCCGAAGGATCTCCTGTATGAAGAATTAGTGCAGGGAAATCGCCCCAGAGGGAGACCACAGCTGCAATACAAGGATATCTGCAAGCGGGATCTGAAGGCCTTAGGAATGGACCTCAACAGATGGGAAACCCTGACATCTGAGCATTCAGCCTGGAGGCAGGCGTTGCATCACGGCCTCTCCCAATTTGAAGAGACCCTTGTCCAGCAGGCCAAGGCAAAGAGGAAGTCACAAAAGGAGCAAAATCAGGGAGCTGGGCAGGGGACAGATTGGATTTGTCTTCAGTGTGGAAGGGATTGTCACTCTCGAATCGGCCTCCTCAGCCACACTAGACGCTGTTCCAAGTCCTCTATACAGAACACGTTACCATAGTCTTTCGAGACTGAAGGATGCCTAACTAAACTAACTAACTAATATATTTTACCCCTCCTTTCTCCTTAAAAGGACTCAAGGTGGCCTATAACAATTAAAAGACAATATTTAAAAGTTGAAAACAGCGAGTATACAAATATTTAAAAAGAACTAAACACATATTAAAAATAGTCAATTATCTTATTAACTCTGGTAATGAGTTTTGTAAGTGTTGCTTGCACACATATATTGTGGCAAGAAATAGAGGAGCTCATCTATTTGCTAGTAGACAACAGTTGGGATTTTATCTTTGAAGCGTACGTGCAATTACTTTTTATTTTACTGTCTAGAATGGGCTGTGATTGTTTTATAGTATATGTTAGACCTTTTAGCTATGAGTTGTAGGCAGCGGTGTACTGTAAGGGGCAGAGGGGTGGTCGCCCCAGAGCACACCCACACTCTGTTTTGCCACTGAGTTGGCCAGGGTGGCACCATCCATCTGTTCTCTCTCTCCCCCCCCCTTCCACTGCCACTCCAATGTCCCTGCCTGCCAAGGCTCTCTGGTGGGCAGGGTGAGCCAGCTACCCCCAGCCCAGCACAAGAGCAGCATCAGGCATGGAAGGGGAGTAGACCACCCCATCAAGGAGAACGTGCTGGTAGTTGCCATCCAACGGCCCTTCCCAGGGCTGCTGGACGGGGTGTGGCTGCTGTTTCTGGTGCTGCTGTGGCAGGGCAGCCAGAGCCAGGCTGGAGGTGCAGAGGGAAACTATGCAGACCCAGTGACAGGCAGACATAGAGGCAGAAACTGCAAAATATCAGTCAAAGAGGAGGATCGAGAAGAGGGTTGAGAACTCACCAGTGGCATCCAAGACAACAAAAGCAGTGATGACACAGACAACAGAAGCGATGGCACCGACTATTGTAACACGTATCCAAAATGGCATCTCCCTCAGGTTTGCTCTCCATCCACAACCTGAGACACAAACATATGTTTAGTGTAGCTCGCTGCAATCACACATACAATTGCTACGCATTAGAACATGCTCAACTGGCCATGCCTATGTGCATGCGTGTAACACCAGGTGCTCCAAAATCGGGAAATTATCCTGTGCATTAGCAAACGTGTTGTGCCACTCATGTACATTCATGAAAAAGTGCACAGCTGTCACTCTGAGCTATATTCATCACTTCAGTGTGATGTAGCAGTTAGAACAACGATGGAAGAAACCCAGGTTCAGTTCTCCCCTCTGTCGCAAAGCTATGCGGGTGACCCTGGGTCAGTCTTTCATTGTCGGCCTGACCCACCTCACAAGGCTGTTGTGAAGGAAAGGTTAGGGGTGAGGGAGAGCTGTGTATACCATTTGGAGCTGCTTGGACAAAGAGGTAGCTCGAAATGTAACAAATAAATAAAATAATAAGTAAATATATTGGTGCTAAAGGCAGTCCGTGCACATGGATGTGCAATATCACACACTTCCACCTCTGAAATAGGTTATCCACCACAATTCTAAACCTTGTGTAAACTGCAGTGCTCCTCTGAAAACATGACATTTCAGTGAACAAACAAACAAACAAAAACCTACACGGGTGACCTATGAGGAGGCAAAAAGGAAAGAGAATCTCTGGATACGCCCTACAAAGGTACAGAAAACTAGTTCAGATTCATTTTAATCCTTCACTGCTAGAGGAGAAGGCCATCAAACTGTCCAGACAGTAGAATTAACCACCTTCCACTCCTGCGAAGAAACGAGGTGCTAAATATTAGTTGGATTAATTCACCACTCTTTCATTCCTCTGAGTCTGAACCAAATGGACAGAAGGAATTAGTGAGCTGCTACTGGAAGAGGCATGAAATGTCCCTGAACTGTGAGCCAGGCCATTAAGGCCAAGTTGGCTTGTTCCCTGGTATGGTGTAAATTCAGCGGCTTGACTCGAGGGAGTAGAAAGTGCTCTTGTCTTAGTGAACACTTGACTCACCAAATTCCTGCTGACTCAGTGGGTGAACTCTAGTGCAAGTTACTACAATAAGCAACTGGATTCCAGCCATTATGACATTATTCTTATTATGTGCCATTGAGTCATCTTTGAATCAATGGATGTGCATATCACACACTTCCACCTCTGAAATAGGTTATCCTAAACTGCAGTGCTCCTCTGAAAACATGACATTTCAGTGAACAAAAAAACAAACAAAAACCTACACGGGTGACCTATGAGGAGGCAAAAAGGAAAGAGAATCTCTGGATACGCCCTACAAAGGTACAGAAAACTAGTTCAGATTCATTTTAATCCTTCACTGCTAGAGGAGAAGGCCATCAAACTGTCCAGACAGTAGAATTAACCACCTTCCACTCCTGCGAAGAAACGAGGTGCTAAATATTAGTTGGATTAATTCACCACTCTTTCATTCCTCTGAGTCTGAACCAAATGGACAGAAGGAATTAGTGAGCTGCTACTGGAAGAGGCGTGAAATGTCCCTGAACTGTGAGCCAGGCCTTTAAGGCCAAGTTGGCTTGTTCCCTGGTATGGTGTAAATTCAGCGGCTTGACTCGAGGGAGTAGAAAGTGCTCTTGTCTTAGTGAACACTTGACTCACCAAATTCCTGCTGACTCAGTGGGTGAACTCTAGTGCAAGTTACTACAATAAGCAACTGGATTCCAGCCATTATGACATTCTTATTATGTGCCATTGAGTCATCTTTGACTTATGGCGACCCTGTGGAAAACCAGTCTCCAAAATGTCGTGTCCGCAATAGCCCTGCTTAGGTCTTGCAAAGTGAAGTTTGTGACTTCCTTTAGGGAGTCAATCTTTCTTATTTATTTATTCATTCATTCATTCATTCATTCATTCATTCATTCATTCATTCATTCATTCATTCATTCATTCATTCATTCATTCATTCATTCATTCATTTATTTATTAAATTTATACCCTGCCCCTCTAGACCATGTCTACTCGGGGCGGCTTACAACATAAAATCCATCAATCCATCTCACATTTGGTCTTCTTCTTTCCCTGCTGCCTTCCACCTTTCCCAGAAACTTGTCTTCTCATGAAGTGCCCAAATTAGGACAACCTCACTTTCAATATTTTTAGCTCCAGAGAGTTTTCAGGCTTGATTTCATCTAGATTCTAGGACGCACTTGTTCATCTTTCTGGCAGTCCAAGGCCAGAAAGCTCTCCTCCAGCACCACACTTCAAATGAATCATTTTTTTCCCTTTCAGCTTTTTTATTCTTGTCCATCTTTCACACCCCCATATGGTAACTAGAAATACATGGGATGGGTGGCTGTTTGGGATACGGTATTGGTCCCTAGACCTTCTGATGTTATCCCACCCTTCCCTATTGCAATTCTCCCCCCAACTCATCTATTTATCTCTCCAACAATAACTCATGTAATAATGAGGTATTATTAGCATCTGAAGATGCCAGCCACAGAGACTGGTGAAACGTTAGGAAGAACAACCTTCAGAACACGGCCAAAGAGCCCGAAAAACCCACAACAACCACTATTATTAGCAGTCTTCAAAATCATCCTGCTGTGGTGTTCTGGACATACCAAAAGCCAATTTTGCAGGCTGTATACCAACCTTTTTTTGTTAAAAAGAAAAGAAGGGTGGTGGGTTCAAAGTGGATTTCAAGAAACTTTGCTTCCTGGGGTTATCACACACACTCACTGCTACCTCTTTGTCACAAAGGATTTGCACGATTTTTGAAGCAATGTTTGCTTATCAGAAAGCCTGGTTATTGAGGGTTTTAAACTGTGTGGAAAGCCTTCATGAGACATGAAGATTGGAGACATGTGCCCTTAACCAGTGGCAACTGGTGCTTATCAGGAAAAAGAGAGGCAGTGAAAAGCGGGTTGAAAGCTGGCAATAGGTGGGCTCAGAGATGCAACCCTTGAACATGGAACACACATCTGAAGAATAAGCCAGTATTTTTTTCTTTCTGTGATCATACTTGATTCTGTCCTGTTGGTGGGGAAAGTGGGTATGACTTCTAGCCAACCTATTTGGATGAACCTATCGGCTTCCGCTCCACTGAACACAAAGAACAGATAGAGAAAATGGAGACAGACAGAAGCAGGAAACTTAGATTCTAGAATCCTTTGTCTCACTCTTCCTCCTTGAGGGTCATTGGAACTTAGGTTTTAGACTGCAGGCAGCGGACAAGCAAGATGGATAAACATAGTACAGAAGCCATTTCTTTCCCAAACCTCCCTCAATGCTCTGAAGAAAAAAGAAACATGTCCTGTCGTCTCTGTCCCAATAAAATTTGTCACGAGAAAACAAACTTAGCTTACCACGTGGTTCTGCCCCTTGTAAGGGCTCAATCATCAGTTCTGTATTTTCAGAAGCCTTTGGTTCATTTTTACTGTTCCCATTGCAGTCACTCTTCTCATTAGCAGTAGGATCCCCACTGTTAGCCTTTCCTTCTTCACACATGATTACTGCTCTGTCCTTTTAAAAGATGCAAATATTCAGAGTTCTGTACAAAACGGACAGTCCCATTTCATTCATGTATTGTTTCACAACATGTGTTCTTTATGCCAGGATACTCTCCATACTGCCTTGATTCCAGTGTTTCCCTGCTGTTACACCCAAGGAGACCATTCCTGTCTGAAGAGGATTTGCCTGGCAGATCACATATTGTGGCCAGCCTCTCATCACATCCCCTTTTCTGGTCGCCAAATTAGAAGGTGGTCAATGGACCCTTGTAAAATTGGGCTGGATTATAAAGTCACAACAAGTAGGCACATCATCCATTTTAAATTATCATTGAAGGAAAAAGCTAGGGCTGCCTCTTTTAACTCATGTGGCTTGTTTCTATTTCTCCCCAGCTCCACAAGAGGATAGATCTGGAACAGAGCTTGGAAAATTTACATTTTTGGATTACAACTCCCAGAACTTCTGGCCAACAAGGCCGTTGGCCGTACCGACTGGGAGATTAATAAAAAAAAAAAAAAAAAAAACATGATAGCTGTCAAGTTCATTCCAATTTACAGGACTCTTACAGGATTTTTTAGGTAGGAAACACTCGGAAGTGGTTTATCAGTCCCTGCTTTTGGCAGTGGTCTGGGATCATGCAGCTTGGTCAAAGACTCATAGGTTGTAGGGCATGTAATCCCATAAACCACACATGCCCTGTGGGACCTCAGCTGGCTTCCCCCAGGAAGCACGATAGGTATTTGAACTCCATTAGCTTCTTAGCCACATGCTTCAATGTACAGAGCTTCAAGAGTAATGGCATGAGAGAGAGAGAGAGAGAGAGAGGAAGGAAGGAAGGAAGGAAGGAAGGAAGGAAGGAAGGAAGGAAGGAAGGAAGGAAGGAAGAGAAG